AATTATTTGAGCAATCAGTCAATTATGATCTTTATTAATAAACGAAGCGTCGTCCAAATTTACGCAACTAATTGACTGGCGGTCTACTTTGAAACTCTGACGTCAGAGTTCTGAGCCTCTCTGACCTTTATCCCTCACGTAGGCTTTGATGTCGTCGTCTCGGGGGATCAGTTTGCTTCGCGCTGGTTTCTAAGTTTCAATGGCGCTCGTCAAATCCATGTGACGAAAGGGGGGCGTGCTACCCCTCCCTTATGGTGGAAAGATAAAATTAATGATATGAATATTAACTTTACAAACGCACGTTAACGAGCATGGAATTGCAGCTGCGAAAGTGTAATTGTGCGAATATATCGAAGAGCGGGTTAGATATTGCGCGGAGCAGAAATTCTCATTTCTCTTCCTCCGTATGCAACACCTTTTTCTACCCGGCGCCGCGTCGGAAGCGCGACCGCGCCACGGCCGCAACCTCTTTCCGCCGTGTCCCATGCGGTTATCGTCGACCGCGGCGTAAAATTTATGGGGAATCTCCCGTTCGGTGGCGACCAGCAGCGGTCCGCCTTATGGCGCGCTTGTTCGCACGCACACGTCGAATAACGAAGAAATCGGTGTACGTGCGGCAATCTTTATCCGATCTTTTACCGCCGAACGAGGGAAGAAGTCGCGTCCCGCTCGTCGACCGAACCACGTCCGCACAGTTTCGCCTCTTATCCTCTCACCCTCCATACTTTCCCCTTTTCTCGTTCCCGAGCGACCCCTGCGAACTGGGCACCCGACCCAAAAGTAATAATGCAATATCGAGACGACTTCGTAGGAAGCTTTTGAAGCTCCTTTTCGCGCTCTTCAGTCCGTCGAATGGACTCTCGCGCCAGCAGTCACCATTATTTATGAGTGCTGCGTGTCCGGCATACGACGTGCCGCCTCACGTGTCGGGTCACATGCGTCCAGGTCGCATCGCTGGCTGCGACGGCTTCAAAAAAGGTGAGAGTAGACGATGCAAAGAAGCTGACTGCAGTTGACACGCGATCTCACGTTGCCGGTGATCGTGCCGTTCCCTCCCTCACGTGAAGCCACTGCCATGGCAGATGATGGAAGCCCACGTGCCGTCGGTGCTCCTTTTCTTGCATATATGTACGCCGCACCGACGGAAGGAAAGACCGATTCGGAATCCTTCCTTCGGCCGGGAATCACGGTCGAGCCGACGGTGATTTTATCGCGCCGGCCGGGAATCGACTATCTCACCTGTAATTTTCAGGTAATACGCGGATATGATCCACCCGCCGCGCTACCGCATCCACGCTCTCGTTGCTCACACTTCCTGTATGTAAATCGTATCCTCGTGCATGATGCACGGAACGAATCTTCTCTGGATTCTATGTTGGGATTGGATTTGATGAAGCGCGAAATGGAGTTCGAAATGTTTCATTATGTATATCGTCATATATAAGGCAGATTGAATTTGACTGTTGATTGTGATCTTTCACATCTTCATTCATTTAGCGGGAAATCTTATTGTTAGAAAAATCGCTGCCTTAATGAATAAAGAGAGACCTGCAACAATAATCATTGGATCGATAGAATTTGTCGTCGAATTATTTAAGCTGTATCATAATTAGAGCAAGTTAATAATGAAAAGTGAAGTATCTTGATAAGTTGAACTCTAAAAGCGTAAATAAGTCATAGAACTTTATATATCCCGATTTAAATCAAAGAAAATTTTACTTTAATAGAATTTGAAACTTAATTACCAAGTAATAACTTGGTTAGATATAACGTTGAGAAAAGTTACGGCATTTCTTGTAAGGTGGACTTGATTTAAATTTTCATCAAGGAGAAGTTGAGTTGATGACGAAGAATGAGCTGAGAAAATAGCACATTCACCAAACAATTGTCATTCCTGCTACGGATTCTTTCATTTTCAAAAATCAGGAACTAGTTTGTTTATTTAAATTCTTGAAGAATAACTTGTGTGCCAGAAAAAATTGCCACATATACAATGCAACAATTGAATAAATTTCGTAAACATTTTGGTTGGAAAAGTTTAATTTTCCACTTTTCAAAGAAATGTGCAAGGTGACAAAATAAGTGAGAAATTGTATTGTTATATCTATCTATATAAATTAATCTTCGACTGTGTGTGCGCGTTTGGAGTATTAGACGCTATAAATCAAAGAGGTGATGCAACTAAGATGGGATCCGCTGACGAGCGGGCTTTAATGCTCAAACGGGTGCGCGCGCTAAACAAACGATCCAAGACGCGACAACTAGCGGTGAACGCCATAAACCCAAATCCCCCGAGTGCAGCCGTTACGAGGATGACGGCAGGAGAACGGGGATGAAATGGGGAGGGTTGGGAGAAGTGTCACGCGGCACGTTCTGACCGTGCATCATTCTCCGAACCGGTAACCACCAGTCACTACACCTTCACGACCTACCATACATCGTCTGCATCCAACGACTCAATACACGGGAGTATCCACGTACGTTTTATTACGCGACGAATGCCACTGGCATCGGCAGCTTCCCTTATTCGCTCCGAAAGACAAGATTACCAGCTAAAATCCTCTTTCCTTTCCGCACAGTGGAGGGCTTTCCGACACTACTTTCGGACAGCGCAAAGTCGAAATAGGGCTTTCGTGTACGGCCGGGCGGGGGATTATAATGACAAAAGGACAAGACGTGACGTAAACTCACATTTTTGTGACGTGCGCGCGCGCGCGCGATAATAATGGTTTGCATTACTCGCCAAATCTATTTGTGCTATTTTCCGTAATGTTATTTGCGAAATTTGTGATTATTGGATCATTCCACAGTGGATTAGTGAATTAATTTTGAAATTACATGTATAATAATATATAATAGGAATAATACGGATTTATACACGCGTGCTGATACATTTTGAATTGCGTAAGTTAATATTCACAAACTGTTTTCGCAGTAAACTGCATTTATAGAAAGATTTAAATATTATATTTTATATAACGTTTAATATATTCATTAGAACCCCCCACTCATCAGAATATATTTAGCCAGAGTTTATACCGCGGCGTACAATGCTACAGTTGCTATTTACGTGTATTAAGAATTCTGTATCTTTTATAAATGCGTTTCGAAATTAGAAAAACTGTTTATACATTTACCCCGTAATCGTAAATATGAAATATAAATAAACCGGTTCCGCATAAATCCAATTTTGACGAGGGCCGCGCAAGAATAACACGGATAAAATTCAATGACAGTAAAACAGGTTAAGCGAACAATCCATTTTCTTTATGTAAACGATAAGCATTAGGACGATGAACGAGGGTGAGTTGAGAGTGCTTTACTTCCGTAACGAAAATTGCTGCCGCCGAGTGATTTCAAAAGAAACGTCGATGGAAAGTAGACTGCTAGAAAGTGGGACCGAGGTACAAAGAAGCATGATTATCCAGTCGCGTATACGAAAAGGAAGCTAACGCGGATATCGAGCCACGGATATTCGAGGACAAGGAGGCTTAAGCCTTCGGAGTCCTTCGCTGCCGCTTTTTCTTCCCGACGGCATCATCTGCCGCTTCGAGAGAAAGCTTCTCCCCCCATCCACGCGCCTTCCCCGTTCTTGATGCCTTAATATCATTAGAGCCGGCCGTATAATATCCACGGCCGCGTCGGCACACTTGAAATTCAACGGCATCGCGGCTTTTCCCGGCGAGGAGGAGGAACTTTTACAAAAGGCCTTACCGGATCTTATTTACGTCAGATCGATGCTTTTGGATGGCGGTGCGGCGATCCTTCGGGACTCCTCCAACTTACAATCATACAAGTTTCGCGCGCGCGCATTTACGTGTATACGTGTGAAGTTCTCTATCGTCCACTTTTCAAGCCACATCCCTAAACCCAAGTCGGAAAAAGCAATCGTAAAAGCGGGCTCAGCGCGTCGGCTCGGACAGCTTTTCACCGAAAACCGTCCGCAAAGCTCCACTGCGACCTCACCGAGAGCTTAAGCATGCACACCGAGCACAATACTTCCCAGAGATATCCGCACACGGATGATCGCCGAGAGTGAATATCAGGAGATGCGGTTGCAGGATTCTGGAAAACGTCTTTGATGTCGCGAGGTGCGCTCAAGCGATCTTGGCTGAAATTTTTCACAGAAGTGTGTATTTCACATTTTAATATATTTTTCTCAACCATCTGAAGTCAAGTCGTAAAATGTAAATTGCATTTTCCACGTTTTGAGAAAGACTTGGAAAGACCGAATAAAAAAAAAAATACTAAAATTTTATTGTGAAATTTTTCTACTGCTTTACAGAAGGGAGAATTTGGGATTTTATCTCATGAAATAATTATACATCGAAATTATTGTTAATATATCTAACTGTTCCGCGTATCGTGTATTGTCTGTTTGCATATCGTCATTATAATGCGGGAGAGCGGTAAACCCGCATTGTTGAACGGACAAATATACAATGTTATTTAATGTTGTTAGAAGCAGTAGCGTGCAATATTGAATAATGTTTCGGCCGCAAATATCGACCGATGCTATGTGTTTAGATTCGATCGGAGGATATTCAACGCTTTCACCGTGCAGGATTAATCAGATGAGACAGGCAGTAATTCTTCAGAATGTATAGTCTCCGGCGCGTTATGCGATCGCGTACCTGTTACTGCGCCTGACAAATCGTTCGGCAAACACAGTGAATTGGAAAGGTACATTAGCAAGACAAATGGCGAAATTAAAAAAAAAAGAGGGGCGTCAAGTGCTGATGGCGCCGGTGAGAATAAATGGGAATCGCAAAAATCATACCGTCTACGTGCATATCATGCGCCGCACCGCATCGCCGAATGTGATTATATTTCAATAGTGCCCGTTTATTTCTGTAATACAATACGACGTGAAATGTGACGCTGCCAACTATTTCTATTATTCCTTTTTCATTTTTATCAATTGATACCGAGCATTATTTATGGATAACAATTGTGCGCAGATAACAATTGTTTCTAATTCGCGTATTTTTATATTACAGAAAGCAACGCAACAATTAAATCGTCCTTACGTCTACTTCAATTGGACTGTGTAATCGCTGTAGATAATGATCAACGTAAGTAAAAAGTCTGTGCATCGGTATCTATTAATATCATTTTTTTCAACTCAAATCATTAAATGTTTTGTTTGTATCACTTACGAAAAAGATACAAAATGAAGAAATATTTCTTTGTACGGCATTCTTAGTCTTTATATCGGTTTCATTGAATTTAGATTTACATCTTTGCTGTCTCTGGTTGTAGTGGAGATTACTGTGAGAAGGCAGTTGGTCGAACGCAATGCACGCGCGGATGTAATTCTGTTTCTCGTGCTATGTGCTATGTCCACGCCTTTAAAGCGGTTCTACGCTATGCGTCCGTTCCTACAAATGCGCCAGTGTTTGCGTATTCAACCACGTGCCAAATGAATATTCGTTCGACTTCCTGCATTGCTAAGCTTATTCGTAATTCTGTTTCCTATTCACGTACATTAATTAGAAATCTTCGCTTCTATTTATTTTTTACACGAAAATCGTGTATTTGGCAAAATATGTTACAAGATAATAAAGAATTATATTCGATTAATTTGAAAAAATGCGCGTACGCAGAAATAAAAAATAAGTATAATATTTATTTTCTAATTTTATTTTTACTTTTTGTTTCGCAACTGCGTCGTAAAAAACTATATTTTAAATATTTTTGTATGCTTCAAAGAGTTTTTTTATTAATTGCAAAATTTTAATGAGAGACAATCGCAGGTAGATGAACAATGTTTCGAAAATGCACACACGCGCTGCTTCATTAGGAGAAATGCATGCGAGTATATGCGAGGACAATATTGCTCGTAATCGAACTGGCAAATCAACTAGAATCGCGATCGTATCTAGTTGGAATTTCAGCGAAATTCGGCTCGGAGCTCGCACCGAGCGCACGAGCGCGCGCGTGCTGCTTCCTACCCTTTCTCGAGGTCTCTCCACGAGCTATTTCTCTCGGGCGCGATCCAGGATAGCGTGCCTGAAACACGAGTCCGATATTATCGCGTCGGCGTGCAATTTTGCCCCGTAGTTACGGCACGGTACGAAAAGGGACTCCGCGCGATCGATGACCGCGAGACGGACGAGGTGAGCACTCATGATCGCGCCGGCATGTTAATTGGCTGACACTAAATAATGCCTTCACCTGATACCGGGCGTTAGTCCGCGCGCGGACAAGGACAGCGCGCGCGCAGCTGCGTGAATTAATTTCTAGTCGCGCGGTTAAAGCCCGACTATTCTCCCGCCGCCGCCGCCGCCGTTCCATCGATGTTCTGTAATTTCGTTCCGCGTAACAGATGCGGTATCGTATTCGTGATATGTGTCGTCGTTACACGAGCGTTACACTCCATACTCCGTCCGGTGTTATTAACTTAGATCGCTTTATTGTGTGTCGATCACGAATGGAGAACAATAATTGACAAGAGATACGAGTCGTATCATACGACGCGCTGAGTTAGCGTCGAAAACACGCGTACCGATTTGCCGATAGACTTGGCGATTCGTGCGATAATCGGCGCTTTTGTTACTTGGATAATTACGTCCTGTCGTGCTCTAAATCGGGAAAAAATATTTTCTAAGCGGTAGTAGGTCGAATCGAAAATTCAGCCTATTACGTGGCAAAGTTTTCCTCGCAGCGGTTGATTCGCCCGCAGCTCGGTTCGCACGCGACGTAGGTTAGGTCGAAACATCGCACGCTGATTTCTTAAGTCCGCGATTCTACCGAATCGATAATGCCGAAAGCATTTTTCCCATATTGCCGTTCCGTAAAAAACTCAATCCGACTGATGCCCAAAAGTAACGATGTAACAAAATGAAGTCTGATCGCTACTGCTGTTGGCGCTTTAATGTGATTTATCATGCACTTTTATCTCGGCGCAATTTTTCATAAATAAAAAATCCGACTATCACTACCATTGAAACGGCCAGTTTTTGTACGCGGAGAGGAAAACGGTGAAAATCATTTCGCTATGCGATTATCTGCATCATCGATAGAAACTCCATTGCTCGTCGCGGTGTTATCGCGCGATGGCCTACGCAAACCGATTAATCAGGTTTCGCAAAATACCCGAAACTGGCATCAAGCGAGCGGGGCCAATGGCCCGGACCATTACCGCACCAGAATTGTTTCCGAAATTCCATGTAATCTGATAGGAATGCGATCTGGTGGTTCTCGCATGATGTACGCAAATAATTCTAAAAAAAAAAAAAAAATAATAAAAAAGAGGGAGAGAAACGTTTTAACGCGCAAACGTGTGTGTCTTGCTGCGGGCGAAACGAAATTATGATCTGTTATAGATAATAACTTTCACGGCGAACGTAAATTCAAGTTGCCAGTTTTCGATCCCGTTTTATCCAATATGAATGCCTGTCCAATCGGTTTTGTCATAACATATGGGTAAATAATATTGGCGTTTCGCGGCTTGTGCCATGTGCCTCTATAATTTATCGTCGCGTTATTCGATCGCGTAATTTTGGTAGTGACTAATGCCGAGCAAATCCGATCATTTTGCGATGCAGGACTGACGAATCCTCTTAGAGAGGCGCTTGGTCGGTCGAGAGATTTTCAGTGTTGAATTTTTAAGGACTGCATCGATCCATTGGCCTACATGGAGATGATTTGAAATTACCGTTGAATATGCACCTGCACCTTCGGCGCTTAATCTAAAAAGCGTAAGCCGAAATATATATAAATATATATCTTTCATAATTCATTCGCTAACAAATACTGAATATTATTATTACACGGAATACCGAAATTAATTAATATTACAGTAATTAATAGGTTATTTTTATATAACGAAATTTCCACTACAAAATATATTATCTGTCATAATTAACTAGCTATCAAATATTCCGCGCTATTGTTAAATGTTGAACAAACTAACTGATTACGATACATTATTTTAACAAAATTACTTCTATAATGTTTACTAATTATTCAATGCTTCTTTTGATACGATTACTATTGTTTTGAAAAAAACTGCACAAAATGTTTTTTTTTTTCATTTTTTGTCACAAAATACGGAAACTATAAGTTTATAGTATGAATTCACTGACTGATGTCAGCTGCAGGAAATCTCTTCAGGAAATATCACATTACGAGTTCTCAAAAAGCAATGGAAACTCTCTCTCTGTGTAGGTGACACATTATGATAACACATGGATTAATTGACCACCTCCGGCGCTGTAATTAACTTCAATTAACTGATGCATAGACCCGCGTGTCCGTCTGTACATTCCCTACTAGCCTCTGTTCCCATTACATCTGCCGCCTCAAGGAACAGGAATACAGTGCTGTAGAATTTCTGCTGTGTACCTGAAGGGTTCTCATCATATACCGCTGTGCCGGCAAAATTACAGATTAGACGTCTGTCACAATGAATATTCCCGTGAATATCTCAGCATTCATGGGCTGCAGTCTAGAAATCGTATTACAGTAGAATTTGCGTCTCATGTGATGCTGAGCGAAAACTGTGTTACTCTGATTAACAAATTTTTTAATTACAAAGAAAAACTTGACGAGAGCGGGATTCTGTTCTTACGACGGCCAGATTGTTAGCATCTCTACGGAATAAAACCGCATACGTGTGCGTAAATATTTTGTAGCGACGTATCAGATGGAAAATATCGATGTGCACGCATTCTGGGCTTTATCGTAGATCGATTGTGTTTTCGGATTTGAATGGAAACAATCCCGCGGCGCACTATCGGTTTACGACACCGTCGCGCGGTAATCCTGCATCGGTGCCGCCGATATATGCGGATCGTGTAATCAGGTTTTCGAAAAATTCACGAAACCACGCGCGCGTGCATGCGACTGACTAATGGAGCCATATTGTTGTGTTAAATTGTTTCCGAAATTGTGTGTAACCTGATGAAAATACCGATTAACCGCAACCCGAAATGGATACTTACAGACGTCTCGTTTTTCATCGTCTGGCAGAACTAAATTATTACCGCACACGATTAAATATTTTACGGACAGTCGGATAAGAAAACTACAAAATACTGAATGATCGAAATCAGTCGTGAATAAGAAGCACTCGCGAAATAATTGACGGTGAAATTTTTGGGCGTCATTACTATCGCAAAGCTAAGTGCGAACACTGCGGATAATGACTTGGACGGAGGTGGCTGGTGTGCCCATTAGAGAGAAGCGCTCGGAGATTCCGGAAACGTTAATGCGGCGCCGTAGTCAACTATCAGATTGGCGATATTGCGCGCCGAAATCGCGATTGGAGGTGCTCCGGGATGAGATCAGTAATCCGGTCCGGAATAGTTCGGCGAACGGTAAACTCAACGTCTCTGCGCACTACTCCGTAATAACGTAACAACTTCGGGTGAACGTACACGAAAGCGATACGTACGCCGGCAACGGTAGCCCGTTACATGATACCGGGAAGATCGTGCGCGCCACGGTCGACTCTCCGATTCCCCGCCTGTGACTGCGAAGCGAGTGAGTTGAGCAGTTTCCGCCCTCCGCTCATCCGTGAGTAGCTATCTCTTGCCTGTCTCTTACATATAATGAATAACTTAAGGCCCCCGTGTAATCTTATTTTGCCCCGCGTGCCCTCCATGGGATATTCCGACATCTCTGAAGCTGTCCAAAAGCTTTGGGAAACTTTCGCGGCGGGAACGCTGTACGCCACGTAGGAACTTCGCCGTTGCGCAACGCTCGCGATGTAATCAAATTGTCGCGAAATGAACCGAGTTCGTGCGTGACGCATGTCCGGAGCTGTAACGCAAATCAAGCATTCAGTCCGCAAAATCGATCATAATCCGATGCGGACGATGATTCAATGCCGCTGCTAGATGAGAGATACAATTGCCAGAAAGGGAGAGAGAAAGAGAAAGAGAGAGGGACAGAGATGGAACTTACGTCGTCAGTATATAATGCGACGCAAAATGGTGAACGGTGGGAAATCCGTATTGCGCGCAGGCATTATTTTTTGTTTTATTCGGCAACAGTGCCGCGTTTACAATGATAAAGAAAGCGCCGTTAATATTGATAAAACTGTATCGCTACGATAGAACGTTTAATT